TTGCATCAATTTCTGTGTCTCAAGGCAGTACTGTGGAACCCTAATCAAGGCATAAGCATCGAAGGCTCCAAAGGAGGCCCAACATTTTAGATCGCTATGAGACTTCAGCATTTAACAGAAGATACCCAGCCAGTAAAATATGGCATCTGGTAAACACAATGTTTGGACTGTTAGGGAATAGTCAAGTTCATTCCTTGCAGTCAACTATAAAACTAATTTTCAATGGGCAACTTCACATATCAACTTCTTATTTTATTCAGCACTCTTGTACTGAAATTGGGCTGAATTGCATCTTTTTCTCAGCCTACAGAAAATTATCTCAGCACTTGAAAGCTTGTCTGATATAATACATCAACAATAAGGAGGCAAAGGCAGTATAGTTAAACTGGCAATCACGCAGGTGAATGCATCACATGAACCCAGACTTCCTAGCTCACAAACTGCATATCAGAATTATGCTTAGACAGAGAGAATGCACTTACATTTTAGAGCAATATTAATTAAAAAAAATTATCAGTATGCTTATACCCCACCTTTTTTCTTCAAAGCAATGCAAAACAGCTTACATGATCATCTTCTCCATTGTATCCATGCAACAACCCTGCAAGGTAGGTCAGGCTGAGTCACACTTCATGGGGACTTGAACCCTGATCCCCTGAGTCCCAATCCAACATGTGAATCATTTACATTTGAGATTGACTTAATATCAGTTTTTATAAGTCACACTGAGAGCCTTTCTTGGCTAATGATTAGACTAAAGGTGCTATAAATAAACAACACACCACCACACCAAGTTTAGCCAAATCTTAAGGATTTAACTTAAAACAGTTAAAACAGAGACGTCACCAACATTCCCAGGAGACTGCAATGTGCAGAATTTTCAGCCCAGTTCTAAACTTTATATCAGCAATGCAATGTACCAAAACACAATGTTCTGCCAGTATTGCAATTGTAGGGCATTTTACTGTCTAAGTTTGCATAGGATTATATCCTTAACATTTTAAAATATTTTGGCATATGCTTTTTAAAAATAAATACTGTTGTAACCCAAAGTTTATCTACTGAGACGTATCACCAATTTTAACGGGACTTGTTGCCAAGCATGGCAGCCTAAAACCTATCCAACACAAATGCACAGACAGACAGACAAAACAGAAAGACAAGACAGAATCTCCCCTAATTTTATCAAATTTTATACCAGCCTTCCCCAGCTTAACATGCCAGGGGAATGATGGAAGTTCTAGTTCAACCCACCTGGAAGATGTGAAGCTGAGGTAGGTTACTTTATCTTACAGCTTTTATGTTAATAGCCCCCTTCATATATGAAACATGCAAAGGAGTATCATGCATAAAAGGGAACTACATTCTTGGCCCCACCCTCAAGGTTTCAGGGCTTTTCAGCCCAGCCTCTGATTCTCTTCAGATGTTTAAGAACCTTCAGGGAAAACCACAAATAAAGACCATGACTGTCTTGCAGAATAACTACCATAAAGAATTAACAGCTGCTCTGTCTTAAAATGGATGTTCACTATGCAAATACGATATACCCCCTGCTGTATTTAACATCTAAACATATAGATGAAACTAGGAAATGAAAGTGTTTTGTCTTACAGCAAATTCCTTATTAAAAACACGTTGTGTTTAAGAAAATAAAAATGACTTAAGTCATCCGTCTTTTTTATTATAGAGGCCATGCAATAGCTACCCACTGAACAGTACTTCATCATGGCAACTTAGATGTTTACTACCTTGAACAATCAAATGTGCTAAAAATTAATGTTTCTCATGGTTGCAAACCTGAGCATAAAATGTTTAAATTTGATTGGAGCAGAGGCCAGGGCAGATGTCAATATTTTACCAACACTGGGAGAATCCAGGAGAAGACCATATGGGACACCTGGATGCAGGGGAGTAGATGCACATGGTTACATGGCATTTTTTCTGCCAAAGAATGGTAGGGGACAGGCAGGGGGTCATTGCTCCATTTGTCCCAAATTTAAAGCAATCTCTGGGAAATAAAGCAGCCTTCCCAAATGGGTGCCCCCCAAACGTGTTGGACTGCATCAAACCTGGAGGGCCCCAGATTGGGGAATGCTGAACTAGAGTAAATTACATCCTCAATTTGTTGTTTTAGATTGTTTTATCTTTATCCAATCATACCTGTCAGGATCAGAGTGGCCTATATTGCCCCCCACCCCCAGTTTAATCCTGTCAACATCCTTCAGAGGTAGATTAGATGGAGAAGGACCCTCAAGGAGATTCAGTTAAGGCAGAATCCGAGTTCAGGTCTGAACAAGCTCCGGTTTCTGCTGTTCATGACCTTTAAAGTTCTTTACAAAGTGGAATCTAGAAACCGGAAGAACCATCTTCTCCCATTCAAACCTGCCAATTTAATCAAAGCATTAACAGAGACTCTCTTGTCTGTTGCATCCATCCTTGCCATCTGTTTATCTTCACCGGGACTCAAGAGACCTGGGTTCTAGTTTCACTGGCTATAAACAAGCCAAATCTCACTCAGAGCATTGTTGTTGTGAGGGGGGAAATGAAGACAAGGCAGATAGTATATATTACCATGGCTTCTTGGAAGAAACACGCAAGAATAGATCAGTAAGAGGGGCTTCTGAGTAGTCACACTGAGGCAGTAAAACTCCCTTCTATACAGGGAGACTGGATCCGCACCCTCATCTGGAATGGTGAAGACAGTTTTTAATAATCCAAAAGTTTTATGGAATGTTAGCCTTACTTAGAGTAGTCCCACCATAATGAAGGATATTTAACTAAGCCATGTCTAAGGTAAGTTTTTCCATTTCAATTGGTCTACTCTAAGTAGGGCTAAAATGGGTTACAGTTATAGAGTGAAGGCTTTCCTCCCTGCGACTAGTTTAACTTTGATATCCTATGTTGTTTTGTCCTGTTTTAGTAAGGATGACATTTTGCCATAGAGACCAATTTGAATGTTCAGGTGAGAGTATCAATGCTTAACCAGTCAAAGTAGCAGCACTCACTCACCAATGAAGGGAAGGTATCAGCTGGCTTGTGGGGAAACTCAAGGTTTACAGAAGCACAAAAACTCTTTGGGAAAAAATGCTAAGAGGGAAAGGTGACCCCAAAATAGCCCAGTGTGAACTGAGTATGCTCAGTGGCCACAAAATGCTGGTTGGCAGTTAGGTAGAATGGAAAAACAGGAGGGGAATGGAATGGAGTGGCTGAAGTTATGAACAGAAAGCATGATGTACTGCAACATCATGTTGCTGGGCTCATTTGTTGCAATCTTCTGTTTCTGTTAAGGTTGAGACTGTTTATTGTTAGCTCCTTGAACTCTAAAGAAAGGAGGAGCTGTACAATGTGGCAGAGAAGAGCCTGCTATTCTAAGACCCACCCCCACCCAATCTTTTAAAAACCTTTCTCAGCATATATAAACATGCATGGTTCTCCGATCAGTAGGGAAAGTAGGTTAGGATAAATTTCATTTTAGCAGAGCTTGGAGGCAAAAAATGAACCAGTTTAGGAGTTGTATGGAAGCAAGCATTTTTGCACACACATTGTTTTTAAGACATTCTGATCCTCCAGAATATCCAGCTAGGCAAGATGCAGGACAATGATAGTCAGGAATTTGACCACATAATGGTTATGAAGGTATCAACAAGTGTACATTCAGCAAATTAAAAAAACCCAAAAACAAAACAAAACAAAACAAAAACAGAAAGATCCCAATACCTAGATAATAAAACTGCAATTTTACAGCACTGTAAAAGCACACTAAATAGAATCATACCTTCTGATACCTCCACATGCTCAGTTTGCACCAATAATATCAGGGTTTGAGTTAAGTAACAGATAGTATCTGTACCACCCACCCTGCTGCCCAGGAACCTCCCTGAGCAAGATGGCAGAGATGGTCTCAAGTGTGGTGTTGGAGGAATTCAGGATGGTGAAGCTGGGTGCATACCAAAGCTGTCTTTGGAGCTCCAGGTCAGGACTTCATGGCCTTCAGTTTGTTTTCAGGGCAGCATATGAATCAAGACATAACTTTGATTCAGTTTTTGCTTCTAGCTGTGAGATAAGTAGTTTGAAAATGGGGCAGGATGGGGGAGGATCCTAAGTAACCCTATCGTCATGGTCAGACCACTTCCTGTATGATTTGAACTCAAGGTCTTACTTCCCTCCAGATGAACTGCCCCACAAAACTGATGAAATCCAGTGGAATTTTGAATGCTCTTGAAGATTTTTAAGTGAACTGCTGGTGATCCACCTGAGCCCTTAAGGTCTTACTGTGGAACAGTAAGATGCAGAAGGCTGCCCACTTGAGGGCCATCAGCCTGATTGCACCCAAGTGTCCCCTCCAGAGCTGAAGAGTCCACTCTGTTCCTTTGAATACCGGGGAGCTTCAGTCACCAATAAAAGGAGGATATTGGCTAGAGCACAAATGGAATTAGACTCAAATAAAGACAACCAAGCACATTCTAGGGCACAACTCTGTGTTTATTGTGCAGTGGTGTGGGCAGCGCAGGAGGGTTGATCTATTGCTTTTCCGTTAAGTCCTCAAGCAGCTGTGTAGCTAGCCAAGGGGGTATGACCAGGTGGACCCAAGGAACTGTAAATGCACATTTGCATGAAGGAGTTGCAAAGAAAGGAACAGTAGTGCTCCCACTCTGAAGTAACTCACTCTGAACCCAATGGCATTTGATAAATACCACTCAGTTACAAATATCCCTTTCTTAGGGAAAGTACTTAAGAGTCATGGCAGAAAAAGTACAAACACTCTTGCAGGATATTGATAATCTAGACTTCTTTAAGTCTCAGTTTCATCATGGTTACAGAACCAAATCAGCCTTGGTTGACCTGATGGATGACCTTTATTGGGAGAGGAACGGGGGAGTGCAACGCTTTTAATTCTGTTCACTCTGTCATCGGCTTTTGATACTGCCAATTATGATCCACTCCTGGATTGGCTCCAAGGACTGGGCACTGAAGACATGGTTACAGTAGCTCCTCCTTACCTGCAGGGTAGATTTCTGAGCACAGCGTTAGATGCCCATTCCTTGGACTCTTGGCAATTGACCTACTGCGTTCCACACCAAGTCCCCAATGTTGTATAGCTATATGCAGCTGCTTGGAGTGTTCATTAGGAGATCTGGGGTCCTGCAATCAGGATACCGATGGGCACAGGTCTATCTCTTAATCCCTGGTAAATGCTTACAATCTAAACATTATTTAAATTAAGAACATCAAAGCATAGCAAAGGTTTATTGCTTTCTGCCAGCTTTCTTCCTTATTGCTGTTGCTTTTAGATCTCACTTTTTTCTTCCTGCAAGGAACCCAGGACAGCTTTCATAGGTCCATTTTATTTTATGGGTGAATAGCTTCCACAAGATCTCGTTCTGATCATGGTTTTTCTATTTTCTGTTTCTTCATAATGATTGAGGAAACAGTTGCTTGAAACTCAAAATTGAAAGTGTGTAGATCAGTGTTACTAGAAGGAAAAAAGGTAATGGAGGAAGGGTGGCAGATTAAAAAAAAATAGAGAAATTGCACTTTTAATAGGTGCATACAGGGAAATTTTCAGCAGGATGAATGTCCTCTTCTACACAGGGTTAACCCTGCCATTGCGCAGAGTGAGCAACAGCTTCAGTCAAGAAGTGCTGAGGGAAAGGGGGCAGATAATGTTGTGGCTGCCATGTCAATTGTCAAACTATTGAAAAAGCTAGCCTGCTACCCTCAGTTGCAGAGGAGGAGGCTGTCCCATCACAAGTGGTGAAACAAGATTCAATTGCCAGTGTGGTTTATTTCAATTAAGTAAATATATATCCTGCCTTTCCACCTGAAATGCCACTCAAGGTGGCCAATAATAACAATAAAGAATTGGAGGATAAAACAAAAACTGAATTAAAAGATAACATAACCACAAGCACAATAAAAGAAATAAACAGCACCGAATCCAATAAAACTTGCTTGAGCAGCAGGCCAGCTTACAACAAGTTGGCTTTCATACATAGTGGAAATGGGTGGAGTGGGGGCTGAGAGAGACACCATGTTATTCTTCACCTCTGGGAAGGCAACAAAATGTTTTGAGACAATCCTCTTCTGCACAATTATTAAAAGGGGCAGGAGCCTCTTCACTTCTGCAACTGGCCATCCTATATGGAGAACATAAAACCCACCCAGCACAGTCCTACACCTGTTTATTCAACAGCTAAGTCCAGCATGTACAATAGAGCTTGCTTTCACAGAAGTATGCACACGTACCCACTGGAATTTACAAGACTAACTTGTGTGTAAATATGGACAACCTCCAAGGGTTTGACTGAACTGCCATGGCTTGCAGGCCAATCATATGCTTGCCAGTCGCACTGAATTTGACAGGGTCTTGCATCATCTCAAAAGAACTCTGGAAATGCTCTCCAAAATCATATAGCGGTACCACATCAAATGAACAGTTCTGCTAGGGTGCAACAATATAAGCTAGAGTTAAAGCGATCACTTCCTGTAGTCACAGATGGGACTCTCGGAAAGGAAAGGAAAGGAAAGGAAAGGAAAGGAAAGGAAAGGAAAGTCGGTAGGACTAAACTTGCACTGGGAAGCAACAGGCTTGCTAATGAAGGATCCGGCTGAAACGGAAATCTTGTCCCCAGAGAATCCCTGCTGCAGGATTTGCATATGGTTCAAGTGTAAATACTTTGCACAGCAACTCTACCTTATTTGGGGAAAAAGGATACCCTGCATCTACTGCCCAGACCCAGCAAAAGATAGCAAGCTGCTTAATCCGGAGCGAAAGGAGAAAGTTTGTTTGTGTAGCTGAACTCTGTGGATTGTATCCAATGTTAGTCCTACTTAGAGGAGATCCATTGAGATGCATAAGGATTAAGTTACACCAGCTTTTCCCAAACTGGGGCCCTTTGGCTGTGCTGCAGTACAATTCCCACCATCCCCATCCAGCACGGTGAATGTCAGGAATGATGGGAACTGTAGTGCAAAACATTCTGGGGGAGGGCGACACACCAGATTGAGCAACGCTGAGTTACGACGACCATCGGGTGCAATTCCATACATTTTCGCATCCCCTGCATCCCACATCCCGCAGTTGGCTACAAGAGCGTCGCAGAGGGAAAATGGGCTTATCTCGCAGCTTCCCTTCTTCCTCACCCCCCCTCCAAAAAAAAGCCTCCCGAAAATTACCAGGCTGCGCCCGAAGCTCCAAGCAAACAGCACTCACCAGCGTCACTCTGTTGCTGGAAGGCGCTGTTCTAATTCTGAGGGAGGCGAGAGACGGAGCGTCAGCGGCCCAGCTGCGACAACGGCGGCGCCTCCTTCCCCCTTTGTGTTTTGGTTCGCTTGGACCACGTCAGACTCCAGCCACCGCCACGGGAGCCGGATCTGCCGGCGCCCAGAAAGGGGAAGGGCTTACCCAGCCCCGTCCCCGCAAGCAAGGCGGGGCAGAAGACACAAGGGCCGCCCCCTCCGCTCTCTTCTGTCGCAAGGAGACCTCTGGCTGCCGGAGCCGGCATTTAGCTGCCGCGGGAAGGCGAGCCGAGTTCGTGCGTGGTTGGCCCGGTCTCGACCTTCCCCAACCTGGTGCCCTTGGGTGTGCAGGTCCGCAGCGCTCATCATTGCCGTGCCACACTTCCAAGGGCGCCCAGTCGGGGAAGGCAAGGCTACCCCGCTGCCCTCTTTGGGTGTTTCATGCTCAGAATCCTCTTTCTTCGTCAAGGATTTCTCATCGATTGATTTTTTCCGGACACACCCATTTAGAGCGGATATTTACCTTTGTTTTAAGAGATCAGGTTTGCATTTGTGCTCGGCATAGTAACAGGGCACACACGGATGTCCCGCCTTGCTGGGCCTCATGATTTCTTTCTCCTCTGGTTTCTGTGTCACACAGCGTCAAAGGAAAAAAAGGCGGGACGTAAATATAATACATAAATAAAAGCAGAAGAAAGAAGCGGATGTTATTACAAAGTGAACCAAAAAAGACCAGCCATGCGCTTGTATTTTTTAATCCTGGTGACTAGTTTAGACTTATTTTAAGGCAACTTTCCCCAAACTGGTGTCCTCCTGATTGTAGGAGTACAACTCACAGTTTTTCTGATCACAGGCCATGTTGTCTGAGGCTGATGGGAGATGAAGTCCGGGAGATGAAGTCCATAAATCTGCAGGACACCAAGTTGGAAAAGGCTGCTTTAAAGAACTGCATCTCTCCATTGTTATTTCTTGGCATTAACTATCACTGTATTTGGTGGAACTTCTGAGTAATCAAACTTAGAATCTGGATGCATTATACTTCCTTTTAACTAGTATTCCCAGCAGTCAGTTGGTTTATCTACCCATTTAGTACATTTGCCTTGGGGATAGGATCAGGTATTTCACTGAATAAACTAGACATTTTTAACTGGGATAAAGGTCATTAATAATTTCCTTCTATCTTCCCTCCAAGAACTCAAAATAGCATAGATGCTTCCTCCCCAACTCATTTTATTCTCTTAACATTCCTGTAAGGTGTCTTAGGCTGAGAGAGTGTGGGTGGGTTAAGGGTTAATTTCATGACCAGGTGGGGACTTGCAGCCAAATTTTCTCAGTTCTCTTCCAGCACTCTTTGAGAATGACAGAGTGACACATGCACATTGACCCTTGACCAGTCAAAACTTAACTTCCAGTTCTAGCCCCTAACTGTTCATGGCTCTGTCCAGTCTCCAAGTCCCTTTGAAATCACATGTTGGGTATGAGTGTTTAATATCATTTTGAATATAACATTTGCATATTTATTGCTTATTAGGTAGATAAGTTTTGTTACTGCTAGATAAGAATCTGAGCTTTTAAAAGTTTCTTGGATTGCAAACTTAAGCATGCTTAGGCAGAAAAAAAAGTCCTACAACTCCTAGCACTCCCCTGGGGAATTTTCTGTCTTAATATGCATAGGACTGAGCCTTTAATAAATCTTTAAAACATTCATTTAAGAAAGATGGCATTCCTGAGAGTTTTACTACATTGAGAAATACATGTTTGATATGAGGTTTGAGTTGGGGACTTAATAACTTTTACTTGCAACCAATATAATACACCAATTCCAATTATTAAACCAATATAATACACCAATTATTAAAGTTGCATTTGGGAGTTGAAAATTACCTTTTCCTTTGATATTGTATCAAAGAACGTATTGGCATTTTCTTATTTGAATACCTTGCTGCTTAATTTTTAAAAATGTGTTTATATAGTATTATTATTGTGCATACACTTTGCAGAATAATGTAACCCAAAAAGAAATGCCATGTAACATACACAGTGTGTGAAAAGCGATGGGAGGAGTATAGAGATAAGGTTAATGGAGGAAGGAGAAATGCAAGCACATGCAGTGAAATGTACCTAGACTTCATTTGGGTTATGAATTTTATGTACTTACTTTTGGAAACATTAAATAACAAATGCAAATTAACTTTTCCTACACTTGTGTGATTATGAATGTTATTTCCTGAATGTAATAAAATGTTTCCTGAATTTAATTAAATCTTGTCTAGCATGAAGTCAATTAACTATTCTGCCCTTGAGGTAGATTTAATACAGTCAGAATATAGATTCTCTCACCATTAGGCTGCAATTTTGCACATACTTAAAGGGGCATGTACTTCACTGAAAAGTGTGCAACTAACTTTTAAGTCAGCATGCATAGCATATATTTATTAGTTTACTTTCAGGAAGAACATATGTTTTTGGAAATGTTGATATCATCCTTGGATATCAAACCTTCCTTGCAATGCATGTTTTTCCATCATTCCTACGTGAGGCATGACCGTCTTCTCTGATTCCAAAAGCCGAATGCTATTAGTTTCATTTTCAGCCTTGGTGTTCCTAGACGATAAACATTAGCAGGACATTCTTAAGCACATTTACCTGGATGCAAGTTTTGGAAAGTGTGGTATGACATCAGCAGAGTTGCCTTATGCAGAGGAAGAGTGGCAACATGCATTTAGTATTAGAAGAAATAAAAGCATCCTAAAGCTAGTTCAGAAGAAATGCTAATCAACTTACTTGATAATTGTCTTTATATACATAACTGAAGAAGGCTATCTAATACTGTTGAACTACATGCACTCCCTATCTGGGTGTGTCAGTGCAAGCAAATGAAGGTATACAGTATGTTTACTTGCTCTCCTCTGAGAGAGAGCACATTTTGCCTGCTGCAGGGGTAAAAAGGAAAGTGAAAGAATTGGAGAAGGAAACCAATCTATGGAACAACAAGTAGGAGGAACAACACACATAACTGTTGATGCAACACATTCTCTATTATACCCTGGTGTCTGAAAGCATGCAGAATTGTTCCTATTATCTAACAGTAGATACTTTAAATTCGCTACTCTGGTTCACATACAATGTGAATGAACCAACATGCTAGTTGCTGTGGCTTAAGGATTCCCCTTGGCTCCTCCTGCCAGCCCAAGCAGCAAAACATCCAGCGCTGCTTTTTGCTTCAGTTGTTTAGCCTGATATCTAAAAAGCAGAACTCTAGCTTATCTCTACCTAACAAAGCAGAGTTGGAACCCAGGTTGTTCAGAAGCCTGCTCTTGCAGCAGGAATTATTGGGCCAAATTAATAAGACACTGGTTCATTCACACATACTATTTTTTTTTCTTTTCTGCTTTAATAAAACGGATTTCATTGCATGTAAATCAGGATTACTTTGGAGAAAATCTGCACTGGGTTTTACTGTAAGGGAGGGTGCAAGGGAAGGGACTAGTTCTGAGTTGAAGATGTGCTTAGGAAGATAACACACCTGAAATTTATTCTTGTTTTATTTCCTTGTAGGGTACACCATCATCCACCATATATGAATTCTCATTCAGAAATATTTTTGAAGTCCCTAACAATAGCAACATACCCCCATATCATCAGTTACAATGTCATTCCTTTCTGAAAGTCTTTCTCTGCCACTAAAATTTCTTAGGAAACTATTTTCCTTGAACTTTAAAAGGGAATGCCCATCTATCCAAGTTTAGAAAACAAAGAAAATAACCATAATTATAGTCATTCCCCAAATCTATAATGAATGAATAGGATACCATGCTCTTCAGACTGATGAAAGACTCAGGGGAGTGTTACATAAAGGTGACCATATAGCTGGAGAAATACTTTGTACAGAAAGTTCTTTGATATACTCTATATTCTGTACATACACGTACTCTACAAATGCACACTTTGATTTGTTTTATTTTTCCATCTGTTTCAACAAGTCTATGACTCAGCTTTTCATGTAGAAACTTTGAGTCAGCCCTACATGCTGACCTCTGTCCAAAACGACAGTAGTATTAGCAGCAAAATCATTTTATTTATGCTGGTTATAAGCCTTGACACAGAGATAACAAAAGGAAAGCATGGTAATCCAGCTAACCTAACAGAAAATTTAAAAAATAGCTTGCCCTCGCGATCTTCATTACCCGAAGTCTAGTTTTGGTATGAAAAATGAACCACAAAGGCTAACAAGATAATGCCTCTGTGAGGTAGATTAAAGATAACCATCCTTTGCATGTTTAAACAGAAAAGAACTCCTACAACTCCCATCATTCTGACTAGGGAATGCTGGGATTTGTAGGAGCGTTCTCCTGTCTAAATATGCAAAATTTTTCACCTAGAAGTGTTTGGGTCTTAAAGTAATATGCATATTCCATATTACTCCATTAGTTTTCAATTTTCTCTGGAGGTTTTCTACTTGGAAAAAACATTCTGAGCATTTTCCTGTTCTTATAAAACATCCCATTTTGTCTTCTGTTAGTTATGATGCTGCATAGTTCCATATTACCTGGTTGCTTTCTTCTTTCAAAATTATTTTCTATTGCTACTCTTTTCTTTAGTACAGGAAAGTGCAATCCTAATCATGTCTTTTCAGAAATAAGCACTATTGACTGCAATAGGATATACAACTGAAAATGTGGGGAACCATATTTTATAATATTTTAAAATTTTATAATATTTTAACTGCGTGTTTTGAATGTCTTAAATTGCTTTTTTAATAGTGGGTTGAATTTGACACATATCATGCTGCAGAGGGCACTGTTGCATCTGCTTTTCAGCCTGTAGGCAGAATTGTTGTAAAACGTTTCATGCCTATTCCAGGGAAAGGGAGGAGACAGCAAAGATGTGACATTGATGGGAGGTGTTATTAGTTGGAATGTGAAGTCACACTAATGTGCTTCAGATATATATATAATCGAGTGTTAGAAAGACAGCTTGAACTCATTTGGTTTGTTTCACTGAAATCATCTAGCCTTCCCCAGCTTGGCTGTGTTATTAATCTCTGTGGGTAAAATGCCACCTCATCCATCTACTGCCCTCCATGCCCTGGTTGCTTTCTGTACCTCCATAGACATACTGATTGATGTGCATAACTGCTAATTTGTCAAAGATTTATTTGGAACAAAAGATGAGTAACTTTATTTTCTAAATTATACAGAGTTATAATGAGATTATAAGCTATAAACATACCCAAAATAGCATGCATTGTTATTAAAATTAAAGGCGAGGAGAGTAATATGGCATGAAGTAATGAGTGTCTGGGGAATAATAATGCTGGGAAGTTTCAATTGTGTAGATGCTGCTTTGCAACTTCCTTTTCAAGAAAAGTAAGACAGGCTCTAAGCTTAGACTGTTTTAGGGATTTTCTAGAAGCGAATGATATAAGGGATGACTGCAGTCCTGCTTGGCTGCATGTGTTTAGTTCTCCTACAACACTGTTGGGAAACCTCTGGCCCATGGAACCATTCAACCAAGCAAGTCACAGCACACCTTGCCCACTGGTCCTCAGGTAAGGCTCTGACTCTTCACCTTCCCCAAAGTCCTCAGGACCCTGCTGGTTGCTGTAAGTTCTGCCTGAAAGTCCTCCAGTCCTTCTCCTTCCCAGCATGGTCCACCTAGCCCAATATGATCAACACTGATGGCAGTTCTCAAGGGACTCAGGCAGGATTTTTTCCAAACCCATCTGGAGGTGTCAGGATTGAATTTAGGACCTTCTGCATGCAAAACATGTTCTACCAGACATCATCAGCAAAGTCTTACCACACGATTTCATCTAGCTAGTGGAAAGTAATCCTGCCCCTGGATGCAATATGATTTCCCACCCCTGCCCTAAATTTAACATGATTAGGCAGACATAACTTTGCATATGGCAATACAGCCCTAATATTTTGAGAATGAAATAAAATTTTGACACTACTAATGACCTGAGCCTTTTCTTCTGCTGAGAGGAGAATTAGGACAAGAAATAAACTAAGGACATAGCACTTGAAGGCGAAATCTTCACTATGTTCCAGGTTGCACAGGATGATAAGCCATGACACCTTCCCCTGGCTCCACAGACTGGCTTCCCTCTTCCTCAAACAACAAACCATGGCTATAGTTGCATCTTGTAAGAACAATTTCAAGATAGATGTGCTTTTTTTTTGCTGGCCCAAGGCATTTTGCAGCCTAAGGTGAAGAACAAAAGGGTACCTCCCTCTAATCTATGTACAGAAGCTAGCCAGGCTGACATTGGAAATTGTTCTTCAGTGCTGGCAATGGGACAGCTTTTTCCACTGCACCAGAAGCAAACAGGATAATTTAGGGGCACAAGGCAGACCATGTAACACATACAATTCTTGCTCCAATATCTCTCTGCAGGTTCCTGTCCCCCTAACATCACTCAGTCTAATGTTAGGACCAGCCCTTGTTTGGACTGCCATCATTACCTAACACTTTTGGGATATCCTAAACTTCTGTATAATTCATTTCTTTCTGATCACAAACCACCCTATCTCCAGATAAATTAACCCTAGTTTAATTTATATATGTATCAAAACCTTGGATTGGGCTATAATCTGAACTATTCCTAAATCCCATGAACTGACCAAATATATCTTAAGCACATTTCCCCCATTCAAATATAAAGCAGAGGAAGGTTGTATACAAAGAAACATACAAAGGAGAGGAGCAAAACCCATCCTTTTTCCTGCCTTGCCTAGCTATACTTTCGTTTTTAGGGAATTTTTTCCTCCAGCCTTTGTTCAATAAAGGAAATGATCCAGGGAAGGCACAAAATTGCCTAAAATATCAGAACATTGCAAGATAAGTCAAGGTTTTGAATTCTTCCCCTGTGCACATTTTATGTAAGAAACAGACCTCCACCTAATCCTAGTTTTATATGCAAACTCAATAAAACAAACATGTGCTTAAGATGCATGTTCCACATAACTATAGTTTGGTCCTGAATGATGTACAGAAGATGATTTTTAGGCAGAGTCCTAGCATCTACTGTGTTAGAAATTAAAGATGGGATTATGTAGTAACTAACCAAGACCTTCAGAATGCTCATGGAATCATAGAAGACAAAATGCCCTGATCCAGGACAAGAAGCCCTTGTGCTCACTCATGAGTTGCTGCTGTCAGGGTTGGATGCCTTATTGAATATATTAAATGTGGTTTTTATACCACACTTACCCAGGAGTAAACCAGTTGAACTCAGTGGGGCTTGCTTCTGAATAAACTTGTGCAGGTTTGTATTGTTAGTCTTTGGTGTGGTTCTGGGTCAAAGGCTGTAAGAGATTATGTATGACTGGTACAAAATTTCAAAGCAACCTTGTACCACAGACCCAGAGAGTTTGGCCTACTTTAGCATAGGAATGTAAATATTTTTGAGCTAAGTTCTGACTACAGGTCTCATATTGCAGGAAGATGTTTTGTTTTCCCTTGCACAGAGCCAGGCTAGAAGAGTTTTCTACCTGAGGCAGAACAGCAAATGATGTCCTCCTTCTTAAGGTGTGACAAGCTATTTGTGCACCTGAATCAGAAAACCACCTAAGCATATCTTCCTGGAAGTGAAAAAAAATACAAATAAGATGTTGAAGAATTATTGCATTTATTTCACATATAAGTTTTTCTACACCAAAGCTCTCAGGGCAACATTCATAATCAAACCAAGAATAAATCAATAACATCACTTAAAAACAAAAAAAACCCAACAGTTAAAAAATTAAGATCAACATTCATATAATTATTGCACTTACTCTAGAATAAGAATGGGAAGGAGAGATGTAGCTGCTAGATACAAAGTACCATTTGTTTTGGCCCTTGAAAGGTTGCACTATTGGTGTCCACAGTGCTGGGTGTGTACTCCTTTTGTCAGTGCTGCCAAACTAGGGTAACAACCAGACTATGGCACTATTTAAGGCAGCTGCATCAATGGTAGGGCAACTCCCCTGCCATAATTTCCTTCCCAGCCTAGCAGGAAGGCAAGGAAGGAAATGGTTCTTTCATCATTTTTGTAGCACCATTGAAAAGGATACATAACTACACCACCAGTTGGAAGACCCTTTCCTTGGAACTCTTCTGGAAGGTATATAATCTTGTCTCTCTCTTCAACAGTCCCACTTCACTCCAGACTCCAAAAACCAAAATGTTCAAATCCAGCTTATCAGATAAAATGTTGTTTACATGTTGCTGAAAGTGAAGGAAAACGTTACAAAATATGTCAGCTTTATGGAGTAACAATTAGGCTGTATGGGCTCACTTCCTTTAGGAGAAACGTTTTGCAAAAACCTATACCCTCCATCCAAGCGACAGGACTTTCTGCTGTATAATTTTGCAAGCCTCCATCTATGTCAAGCAGCTGTGGAAGCATACTTCAAGCAAAAGGAAGAACGTCCTTTCAGATCAATCTGGTGTGTTTGGAAAGCAGAAAAGTGGGTTAGAAATGCATAAAATAAAATGGAGGATGGCATCTCTGTGTGACTGTCAAGCTAAGGAGCAGGTGTGACACATCATACAATGGGCATGATTTCATCACAAGAGCCTCAACTCCAGCTTGCTCTCCGCCCTCTCCATCGTGTTTATGTACCATCAGTCGTGCCTGTATGAATTAACACTTGACACTCCATATTTAAGAATAACACACACGGAGGAAAGGACAAGCGGGTGGGAGGGAAGGCGGTGCTATTATATAGGCAGCGATAGCAATGGGATGGAGGTCGGCGCCGTCCGGTCCTGAGGGGCAAGGGAAGCGCGGCAGGGGACTCGTTCCTGCCTCCCCTGAGAGGGAACTCAACCCTCAAGAGGCCGCGGCGCGTCTCGTGCCTTGTCTCTTCTTCGGCGCCTACCCTAATTCTCCCCCCCGCCCCCGTCCCACACATCTCTTTCGCTAGGTGAGGACGAGGAAAGGAACTTTCTCCCTCCCTTTCCCCCTCACGCCGCGTTCTCTGACGGAGAGGAAGGGGCAGGCACTGAGTTGCCGCAACACGCATGCTCGGCGCAGGCGCCATTTTGGAAGGGCCGGAGATTAACAAGCAGGAGCGGTGGCGGTAGTGACGGGTGGAGGAGCTCGGCCCGGCTCAGAGGCGGCAGCGGTAGTGGCCTGGGGTTGGGCGGGTCGGCGGACCCTGCTGTGGAGATGGCCAACATCGCAGTGCAGAGGATCAAGCGGGAGTTCAAGGAGGTGTTGAAGAGCGAGGAGGTCAGGTTTCCCTCCTTCTTGCCCTCCTCAGTCGCCGTGGTGGTAGTGGGGGTTGGGAGGCTGCATCTTTTCCAGTTTTCCTTCTTCCTCCCCTCGCCTGGTCATACTTTCTTTTCTCTCAGCCAAAGCCGGTGTTATATTTGGTTGGGGGCGCTATTGCCTATTTTTGCAGCAACGTTTGTTTTCAGGTAATATAGGTGGATGGAAATTGGGGCTATTTCTTACCGGGGAGCTACCCTGCTTGAAGGGAGTGGAAGGAAACGACCACGAGAAGGAAGAAATGACAAGGAAGAGGCGTCTCAGCGGGTAAAGCCAGGCCCGTTAGAGAATGAAGCCCCTTCATAGGTCCCTTATTTTATCCTTTCTGTTACTCATGTGCAGGCCCACCCAAGAAGGAATGATACAGGGCAGAATCACAGGTGTATTAAAATTATTATGTATGGGGCTTTCCACTTCCTTCAGCTGCATCACGTTTTCACTGTTCAAAACTTGTGTTATTTCCTCGTTAAATGTTAATACATTCTCTTCAGCTGTTGTGTACGTGTGCGGGAAAACCGTGCCCCCTTTTCAGCCCCAAATGCAGCCCCATGTCACCCCGTAGCTAATTTTGGATGCAGGTATTTCCTGCCTTGTTATCTGTTTCTTTTCCCCCTACTCGATTTTCTGGTGAGTCTGATAAGGGTAGAATAAAATTTTACCAGTTTATTTTTTAAATTAAAAGCATAATTATATGTAGTAGTGCTGGTGTTAATACTGCCAGCATTCACTGGTGAAATTTCCCAGTGTTGGTGACACTTTTTTGTCAGAAAGTAGAACAGAAAATTGTAAATGAAATTTGGATCTGTAAAGCTGGCAGTGTGGTTGAAAGTGCTAATATTAGGGCAGAGGGGAGGAGGGCTTTCTTGAATATGTAAACTCTGTGGGGGAAGGGGATTTCAAGACAAAAATGTGTTTCAGATAGAATGTTTATAGGTAACTCAAACAGGAAGGCTGCAATGTAATTGATTGTCAAATGTTTCTGTCACACTTGCACAGTGGGGAAGAAGATCTAAACCATGTGATTGGGGACTGTTTCTTAATTTTTTTAAAAATAAAATTTATATTTTAATGTATATGTGTTTGCATAACTGGAGGTGTAAATACTGGTTATAAGACATATACAATGAAACATTTTTTAACATAAGACGCAGATGTGGCAGAGATGAAAGGCAAGAGGGTGTTTAATAACAGGTTCACTTTTTAAAATCAGTCTCTTGGGGAAAAGTATGTGTTTCAGTTGCAGACTGAGGACATAATATCTTATGTCTGTTTACTGCTTATCTCTCTAATTATTACCATCCTAAACATGTTTAAGAGCAGTTCCCAGAATTTTTCAGTATGCTTTATAGTAAATGAAGCAAACAGGGTTTGCGATACACTCAAAAACTGAAATTAATCTCAACACCATGAAGAATGTACCTGTGTGATCTATGTTTGCATGCACACTTATCACACTTACATTTTTGGGCATATGCTTAAAATAGGTGTACACCATTTTAGGGTTTTTAGTTGTAAGTGTGTACATGCTTAACTTTCACATTAGAATTGGTGACTTACATACATTTTTAATTGTGGCTATAGCATGTCCACATACTTTCTGTCATGATAGACTCTGGAGCCACACTTAACACATGTTCCCCTTTTCTTTCCATTATCTTTAGGTAGGAAAATTATGGATAAAGTGACCTATTTCCAAGTAGTATCTATATTATTGAGGAACATTTTTACTGATTAGCACTGTATTGGTTTTCTATAATTAGTGGTTTATATTAGTGAGTTATTTTTATCCAGAAGCCCCCTGACTCACCACTTGAATATATAGGTATTGATGGAAAACTTTCAATGTTGATATGATTGATAACATTTGGTGAAAAGAACTGGAGGGTTTTGATTTATCATATTTGTGTCCTGTCCTTCCTCCAAGGAGCTCAGGGTGGCGTACATGGCTTTATTCCACTATCTTCACAACAGTCCTGTGAGGTAGGTTAAGCCGAAAAATAATCACTAGCCCAAGGCTGCCCAGCTTGCTTCCCTACTGAAGGGGCATTTCAGCATAGTTCCTTCTGTGATCCAGCTCTCTCTCTTGCCATATTTTTGTATCAGGGAGCATGTGATAGATTTAGAGTGGTTATAATTAATTCTGCTTTTCCTCAACACCAATATTTGGTAAAAGTTAGCATGTACCTTTAGGTCAGCAAGTTGTTTCTGTTCTCTTCTTTGTGATCATGAGGTAGATTGTATTCCTGTAAAATATTGTTCCAAGGGCTGAAAAGAAGTTGGATCAATATTTTGATCATGATAGTTCCGTATTTTACAAGAAGATGGTAACTTTGAGGATTTGTCTCTTCTATAAAGGATTGATATCTTTGCTAGGGTATACTAACAGAAAGCAGTGATTTCCAAATCAGCGTAGAAAACATCTGGGATGGTTGACACCATAGTATTGCACATTAAATTTTAATGGATTTGATTACAAGTTTACTTGTGAGGCAGTTACAAAATAAAGACCTATATAAATAATGGCACAACAGTATGTGCCTTTAGTTCTGTTCACAGTAACTTTTCAAGTGAACAGAACTTATATTAACTGTAAAATGTTATTTAAATATTTTGGTGGCTATTCAAAAGGCTGGAAAATCAGAATAGGTTAGTGGACAGTTTATTAAATGTCATAAATGTCATACTGTAATAAGGAAATTTGTATATCTCTGTCCTTTATTTAGAAAAGGAAGAAACTTAAGTGTGAGTTTGTTTAGACACGGGGCTCTATTTTCTTATCCTAGTTCTTAAGCTGTGGGTATCTTTTAGTTTAAAACATACTGTTACCTTTCCATTAATGTTGCTGCCTCCAAGTGGTGGCTTGTGTAGTTGAAAACATGCATTCCAATAAATGCAGACCAGAAAGCAGCCAATGAGACAAATTGTTCCTGCATCACCTTTCTTGAATTAATCTACCATCTAGAGATGGCACTATTAGAGCATGTTGCCCTACTCTCATCACAGATGTGATCTGGAATCAATTATTCTGAGAGCATGGAAAAGATTCAATGGAATGAACAGGGCCATATTTTCCTCATTGCTCCAGAAAAGGACCCCAACTCATTGCTAGAGCACACATTTTACATTTATCAGGTCCCATGTTCAATCAGATAAGTCAGATGTCTATGGTGTGGCTTACCAGATGTTGTTGGGTTTCAGCTGTTATCAGTCCCAGAACCATGATCAGTGGTCAGGGATGATGGGAGTTATGGTTCAATAATATCCAGAGTGCCACAGCTAGATGAGCCAGTAAACTGACTCTGAGAAATGGTTTTTATGTTCACAGTAACTTTGTTTAAACGATTTGTCAGTTCTCATGCATGAATGAGAGTGAACTTGCTGCCCTTGGTACTTTTACTCAGTAACCCAACATTGGCTGTTTTGTGGGGTTGTTCAGTGTAATGTCTGAACCGAATCTGATAGGTTAACTCATGATTTGTTGTTGGGTTAACTGCTGGATTATTTAGCTCCTAAACAACCCCAATCTGGACTCAGTCTTCACATTTGATAGTCTATTAAAGAGCAAATCATATGTTGTTAATTTTAACAAAGAAGTAGCTGGTCTTCTGTATATAAGGTTCCTACTTTCTCCTGTTTGTGTCCTGCAGCCTATGATTTATTTAAATCATTGGCTATCATTACCTATGCAGAACCAATGTAAGGCAGTTGCTTTTATTCTACCAGGATGATAAAAGCAGTTTTAGTTCCACAATTGGCTCCAAAGCAAGATTGAAATTGCATTAAATCTGTGTCGTCTAGGATGGTGGCTAACCAACTTCAGACATTACATTTCATTATACAACAAGAGAGATGAATAACCAGCTGATAGTTGAGAAAATTATTGAATATATGAAGGGGTTTTAAGGAACTATCTTGTGGCTATTTATGCAACTGAATTCAGAGAGACCTTAAGCTACAACCTGTTGTAGCTTAAGTTTTGTGCTCCTGTGATAAGGGTGGTTCACACTCTTTTGCCTTCCTTAGTTTAAAAAATAAAGTTCCTTGTAGCCTCTTTCAGCCACTGTGATGATGGGTGTCTGTTGCACTTTGACAGTGAACACTTCTAGTGTACACAAGTTGACTACAAAGTAAAAAATTATGAAAAATCTGCTGAGATTTTAAAAAGGTGGCAAACCAGTGACAGACTCGCTAACATGCTGTTTGGGGACTTTAAATGAGGTGCTACTGCCTGCTAGCTTGGAGATCATGAAATGTGATCTTGGAAGAGAGAAGTGGACAAAAAGGACACCATGAGTGAACATGGACTTAAGTCATGGTGGAGAATGGGAAGGAATGAGCAGGAGGGGGACAACCTCAGTGAAGTCAGTCATATCTTAGGTACACTGTAAGTTCTGCAAATGGGTCATCAGGAACGTGACCATTGTGCTATGCAGGATCATAGCACTTTGTTTTTCATTTCTGATGGAATAAAAAGAGATAGTTTCCTGTTAATAAGAATATGTTGCTATGAATCTCAAGGATATGTGCTTCCCTTCCTCTGCATGCTTCTGCAGTAACCTGTTATGCCTGAATGTCCAAAACTGGCTTTTCCAATGATGGTACAGTTTTTCCTGAAATTTAACTGTCTTTGAGGGATGATACTTTGCGAATATTAATCTGTTTTTTTCGTAGCATCATGAATTGTTAGACATCTCTTTCAAACCTTTATGTGATAAAATTAGTTAAAGGCTAATTAAAAGAAAATTACAGCAAAATGAAAACATACCTAAGAGTTCTTACTAGATACTTTATTTTGTGTTGATGCTTTATGATATCAACAACAACAACAGCATGAAACCTACATCAGCCTCAAGTAAAGAATGCCCTCAGACTAAAAAGTTAAGAGACCATTCAACAGTAGGCAAAGATGAGAAACATCTTTATGGCAAGTAATTCATACTTTAGATGCCCCAGTTGTAAGG